AGTGCCTCATGCATGGCAATACTGATGATGAATTTTGGTTATCCTTGTAAGGACAAAGCATTTCTGTTCTCATGCCAGTGGAAATGTCATCGCAGATTTCAGGTAGGCCCACATTGGTGGACCTTCTTAGAGTGCTAGTCTACCTCTCCAGGCCTACTGAGGGAGCTCATGGAGTCCTGTCACCCTCGCTGTTGACACCCAGTCTTTCCTGGCCCTGGTGCAGGGTAGCAAGTCTAATGCACATCAGGAGTTCCCAGTACATAGCATTCAGGGTGTGACATCCAGTAGGCTAGGATAGTACAAAATACAACCTTGATTCATGGGGTCCCTGAGGCCTGTGTTCACAGAGTTCTTTGTTCCTGGGGCTATTCCCTACCACAGGCTGAATTCGGAGAATGAGATGCAGAACACAGAGCATAAGAAGGATATGTCAGATGTGAAGAAATTACCCAAGGAAATTAGTGAGGCCTTGTACAAGTGCACAGAGCTGAGTGAGAAGACCAAAATCTACCGGTGAGTACCTGACTTGGGTGGACTCCAGAACTTGGTAAGAACTGCTTCTTGTTGTCTGAAGTTTCTCCAGTTTTGCCCAACCATGCTGTCAGTAGGAATCCGTCCCTCCTGCCTCCTGGAGCCAAATGGCCCAAATAAACACACAGAGGCTCACATTATTTACAAACTGTATGGCCAATTGCTTAAGTTTCAGGCTAGCTAGCTCTATCATCTTAAATTAACCCAATTCTATTCATCTGTGTTTTCCCACATGGCTTCTGCATTGCCAGCCTGCTGGCATGTTGCTGCTTGGGTGGTAGCTGGCATCTCCTCCACCTCTGCCTTTCTTCTCTGTCTCTCCTGGATTTTCCTGCCTGGCTCTTTCCTGCCTTGCCATAGGACATAGCAGCTTATTTATTAACCCATGGGGGCAATACCTATTCACGGCATACAGAAAGACATCCTACAGTATCTTCTTCCCTTCTCCACCTTTGAACTAAAGTGAGGGCTGTGGTTCTAGTCTGTTTACCTCTTAGCAAGCAGCCTGCCTTATCGCTCTTGGACTTGTGCTTCATAGACTGAGTTCTCCTAAGTGTGAAGATTGTGAGAGCCCCTCCCAACATTTTCCTGTCAGCTTCCGGAACTTCTAGACAGAAAACATGGTTTGCACCATGGTTTCTGTGGCTCTGGCAGGAGCTTACAGAGCTGCTTTCTATGAGACACATGGATGGAATGTATTCCCGATAGGTCTTCTGTCTCCCTCAGAGCATGGTTTCCTTCTACCTGCTCATGTTTTCCCAATACTGTGAACAGTTAAGCACCAGGGTGTGTGTGCAGGAGGTAGCAGATCCAGCCTTCAGAGGTACATGGATCTCTTTCGCTGTCAGGGTCTTCAGAAGTAGTGTAAATCTTTCTGGAATTTGGCTATTCTCTGGCTTTGGCCTGCACCTGAGTGATGCTACCATGGCTAATGATGGCTCCAGCCCAGGGCTATTGGGGATGGGGACATGAGACCTTGCAGGAATCATGGTATTGGGAGGCAAGAGTGGCAGATGGGGTGGACCTCATCATTTCTTGTGATATTTCAGCACCCTCTACAGTCAGCACCTGAGTGAACAGACTCAGCTGAAAGAAAAAGTGAGAATGTTGCTAGAGGACAAGAAAAAGCTGCAGGGGGAGCAGATTTTACTACAAGAGTCCTGTGAGGAGGCAAAGAGGCTCTGTGAAGAGGCCCATGAGAAGATCTATGACCTCTGGACAAGGCAGCTGCAGGTAAGTTGAAGCAGCAAGGCCAACCTGGCCACCAGTCTGACCATACACACACATATATACACACTCATGTAACCATCTATTCACTTATCCAACCTTCCCATCCCATCCAATAGTTAGTTCACTTCTGTGATCATTCACAAGTCTTTCTGGGAGTTAGACTCTTAGAGCAAGCAAATCCTACTGCTCTGCAGGAAGCTGCAGTCCGTTGAGGGAGACGAATAAGTCACATATCACTCACCTGTATGTCAATATGGGAGGAGCCGGGCTGTGATGGGAGCCACAGAGATCGAGTGAGTCAGGTCAAGGGTCGGGTCTCATTTGCTTGGCAGGGGTCATGTGAGATGAGAGCAGACACTGCATGGAAGGAGGAACACCCCCTGAAAAAGCCAAATGACTGGGGCTCATAGACATCTTTTTGGGTGTAATATGACATTTTAGCCTCTTGTTCCCAGACTGCCATGGTGTTCTCTTTACCTGGCCAAGCTCTTGGTTCACAGTGACAGAAACAAAATTAACAGCTTGTCAGTACTGGTTGCTGTGAGTGGCATTGGCCAGTTCTCCCATCCTGGATCTTACATTCAGAAGCTCACTGGATGACCAGGGATGTGGCAAGTGCTTATGAAAGGCGGGGGTCAGGGTGGCAGATCTGAGCCAACTGCATCAGCATAGCCTGCAGAGACTCAGCATGTTTCTCCAGGCATTTTTAGTCCAAAATGATGCAGAACTGT